CTGTGGGGCAGATACCTTCCTACCTCTCTTCCTGAACTCAGGCTCCAGGTCCCTTCTGTTGTGTGACTCTGACACCTTTGAGGTTTCAGTAGAGGACAGCAAGGGGGCAATGGCCACTCTCACAGGCATAGTGGATACCTCTCACTCACCCTGCTGTCCGGAACCTACTCACTGCTTAAATCTGATTGCAAGGAAGTTTAGAAATACTTTCTTCTCACATGCCCAAGAAAAGTAATTTGAAATGAGACGGTGAAAATGAAGTATTTTCTCTGCCCCTCTTGCCTCCCTCCATAGAATAAGCTCCAGAGCCCGATCATCTGAGCTGGGGTGGCTGTGTCGTGTCCAGCACCCTTTCCTCCAGACTGTGGAGTTGCTCACTGAACCAGTCTGACAGCCATGCAACCTCTGAAGACATTGCTCCCCTGCTACTTAACATTTCATCCTAAATGGGGACCAAGGGAGGTTTCTTTTTCGCAGTGGCAGAGTTGAAGTTAAGGAGAAATGTCCATAGCAGATTGCACCAACTCGATTGCAGGGTAAAGCGGGAACAGTGAATGCTACAACTTCTTAATTTACAGTTTGCTAAATGAAGTTTCTAAGTCTTTAGTAGTATGAGTCCCCTGTCCTGCAGCTACGGTCCGGAGGCCACCTGGCCCCCTGCTCCCTGCAAAGTCCTGCACGTACGTCGTATACCCACAGAACATAAGCACAATTTTCTGAGGTAGAGGGCAGCTAGAGAGAAAGGAAGCTGTCCATGGGTGTTTGGTGGAGAAAAATCATACCTCTCCTCTCCTCACAGGGAAAAACCATGCTAATGCATAGGCTTGCTTAGAGTTTTTTAATACATAAGAAACCAGCCACCTAAATTGAAATTTATAAGTCAATTGCTATGGTTTGAATGTTTGTATCCACACCAAAGTCCATGTTGAAATGTAATCCCCAAGGCAATAGCACTAAGAGTAGAGCTTCTGCCCTCACGGCAGAGACTAGTGCCTTATAAAAGGGCCAGCGGGAACTAGCGAGGCCCACTGGCCCTTCTTCTTCTATACAGTGCTCATCTCTCCAGAGGATGCCGTGTGTGAGACACCATCTTGGAAGCAGGGACTGGGTCCTCACCAGACCCTTGCAGCTGTCTTGATCTTGGATTTCCCAACCGCCATAACTGTGAGCAACAAATGTATGTCATTTATAAATTACCAGACCTAATATATTTCGTTATAGCTGCACAAAGGACTCATTCACCAACTGACCTGTGGATTTTTTGGAAAGACCTACCCTGCCTACCCCTCGGCATTCTGAGTGCTGCAGTCATGAAGGATGACTTCGCTTTCAAATCCAGATGCAAATAAACACGGACCGAGGAGAGAAGGGGAGTTCCTGCCCCAGCTTTCCAGCTAACGATTCATTTTTCTGGATGATGGAACATGGGAGTGATTGATATTGGTAATGATTTCCTACTTCCAGACAAGTCCCACCTCCTTGCCACAGGGGACCAATCTTCCTTTGATCACAACAAGACAGGCATATCAGCAAACATCTTAATAATTCATCTGAGTGACGCATACATAATTAACTGGTGATAGTGGAGGAAGGCAGTTCCCTTACCTAAAGGGCAGCTGTGTCCCTGGCTTCAAGCGGGGCATCTGCCACAAAGCAAGTGCTGAGATTCTTATTAAAAGACTAATAAAAGGGAAGCAACTTGCCTTGGCCATGTTTGCTTGGTATCTTCAAAAACACTCTTGCTAAATTATTATTACATCATGTTAAGATGTTTACTTAGATAAGCACAGAATTGAGGTTCGAGCTTTCTTTAAGACAAAAGAGAAGCCAGCTGGATCACCTAGTTTTCCCAAACCGGTACAAAGGAAGCAAGACCTTTCTGGAGCCCACAGACCTCCAAGATACTTGCAGGCATTTTCATCCTTAAATATTTTATCTTTACGTAATTATATTCCTTGGAGGGATTTATCCCACATTTCTGCATTGATTATCTGTCCCATTCTAACGGCTCATCTGCCTTTCTCCCCTCTCTGACTATTACCCTTGTTTGTAGCTATCCTATTTTACCTAGCTGATTATTGACCACTCCCTCAAGCCTTTCAGAGGTCAGCATAGGATGGAGGAAGAGCCACGGACTCGAGAGTACGAAGTCCTACGGAGAACCAGCCCCATGTGCTGCACACAGTTGAGACACGTGCCTTGGCCTTCCTGAGCCCCACTTTCCTGATTGCCAGCCGTGGACAACATCGCTTCTCTCACAATATGAGGAAGAGAGGAAAAATATATGCCAGTTTGCAGCTTGTTATACTCTAGACTCTCAATAAATTTAGCTTCCTTTTCTCTTTCTCTCTCTCCCTTTTGAAAGTAGTCAGGATATAAATTATACATAAATAAATTACACGTTATGCTGGAAACCCTCAGACATGATGAATGTAACCAATAATAATTTTAATATTAATAATAGGTTACTCCAGCAGCAGCATCCTCGCTCTGACAATCAATCTGCAAACCCTGGCTTTGTCATCGTGTGACACAGATGCTCAAAGTTTACCCAGGAAGATGAGGATGCACAGGAGTCTCCATTCCCAGGTTTTTTGAATGTGGCTTTTTCACATGAGGAGACTGCTACAAACCACTCCTGACTGTGGAAAGTGTCTGCAGTGTGTCCGCCAAGAAATGAAAGACTAGGGTAGGGCAGGGAACACAGAAAGGCTTCACGCCATTACCTGCGACTGAAAGTAAGGTTTGGAAATGCAAGGCATGTACCAGAAATACTAATTTCTGCTCAGTGCCCCAAGAATGGATGGGACCCTGGGGGGGGGGGGCAGGGATAGAGTATTGCCTCTACCAGGAGGAGCAAGCAGAAGCCAGGGGCTAGAAAGACCAGACATAGCTAGAAGATTGTAAGGCCAGATATAGCCTAAGTATCTGCTATGCTTTCTCACAGCCTACTTTCAAGACCGAATTTGGGGGAAAAACTGCTTCAAAGAACCCTTCAAACTCTCGAATCCTGTCAGTTTATTATTCAGTATTTCTTGAAGATTCAAACAAAGCAGCTGTGAATGTGGCTCCTAGAGCCAGGCTGCCTGGATGGAGATTTCTGCTCTTCCACTTGCTGTGTTCCCCTGAACACTGTAGGTGACTTAACTTTTATGTGCCTCAATCCTCTCAAAGAGAAAATGAGAGTCCTAAAAAGGACAAGCTAAGGTGACATTTAAGAGGTGTGGGGCACTGCTCTGGCAGGAAACAGACAGAAATGCTTGCAGCCATTTCTTTGTCCAAATTAAATGGAGTTCTTTTTTTTTTTTTTTTTGCAGTACTGGGGATTGAACTCAGGACCTTGCACTTGTGAGGCAGGCACAGTGCCACTGAGCTAAATCCCTAGCCCTTAAATGGAGTTCTTAGGGTCACCCTGGCCTGGAGGGCCCCCAAAGCAACTTGTATGTAATAGGACCTCACCATTCTTGATTGAATTAAAATATTTATTCTAAACTTACTCTGGTTGATTTCAGGTCAAACTCCAAACTTCACATTCAGAGCTCTTCCTACCATGTCTGCACTTGGGAGCCACCTCATCTTCCTCCTCCATGGAAGGGTGCCTTAGTTCCCTTTCCACAAAGCCAGATGCAAGGGCCTGCTACACATGGGCTGGGTGCCTGAGCACACTGGGATCTGAGTAGGGAAATAAAGCAACTCTGCTTCACCTGAACATCTAAAAGTAGCCCGCACCTTTGTCACTGACACAACTTCCAGTGGGGAAAGGAAGAGAGGAGCTCACACACTGGGTGTCCACACAGTGCCAAGCATCCTACCAGGTTCCCACACAGCCATTAGTCCTACACCAACCCTGGTGGCCCCCTTACCTAGCTTGAAGGATGAAGGGCATGCATCTCAGAGGGATTTGCCAACTTACTTCAGAGAAACCGCTATTGAGAAAACAGTTGAGCATACATGAAGGGCCCAGAAAGTGAGAGCCCGGCTGCCCTCCCACGCCTGGCCTGCAGCCACCAGGAGGCGCCTTTGCGTTAGGCGCAAGGGGAAAGGATCAGCCCAGTTACCCCCAAGCTGGGGCCTGGGAACTTCCTCCTCTGTTTTACAAAGGCACAGAGATAGAAGTGAGAAGGGAGGGCCAGCCGAGGGGCTCACAGAGGTCACTTAGCTTTGTAGTGGGCCTCCATCAAGCCTTGAGAAACGGGGCTCAATCTGTGAGCAGCGTCTACCCAGGGTCGATCAAAATCAAAATGGAAGCCAGTGAGCATGGGGAGGTGCGCCGACCATTTAGTAAGTAAAGGGCAAGTCATGGCTCAGACAAGAACAGGAAATAAGGACTGGGGATTTAGCTCAGTGGTTTCACAAGCGCAAGGACCAGAGTTCAATCCCTGATACAAAAAAAAAAAAAGTAGGAAATAGAGTGATTACACAAAGTAAAAGCGATTTTTGCTTCAAGGAGTTTCTGTTTTATCTTACATGTACCTGTCTCAGTCATGCTGTGAAGGTTTATCTTACTGCAAGTAATTAAGTTTAAAATATACTGACCCAAAGCTTATGTAGTATCCAGACACCCAGCCCCTAGACCAGTGTCTCACTGGGGCCTTTCTGCTTGTATTTTTGATAGACTGACCTGGAGGTGGGGCTTCCTCTCCCACCTCCACCTCCTCCCCTGACCTGGAGAGCACAGGCTTTTTATTCAAGAATTTGGCCCAAACAGAGCAAGAAAAGTCACTCTGGCTGCACACACAGCAGGGCACAGGCCGCCTGCTCTGCCGGCTGACCTGAGCTCTGAGTTCCTACACAGCTTCTGCCAGAAAACAAAGTCGCCTAAGAGTCAATCAGATCTGGGTTCGACTGTTGAGTCTCCCACCTGCCTATGTGACTATGGCCAGGTTACACAATCTCTCTGAACCTCACCTGTTAATGATGGGACAGTAGCGCTTCCCAGGGCTATTGGAAGAGTTAAGTGCAATCAGGCACGCAGATACCTGCATAATAAACACCTGCCCTAAATCAGGTGCTCTGTTATCCTCGCTCCTTTTCACGTGTCCATTAAATACCCCTGGAGCTTAGCCACTCTCTGTCCCCTTCGGCTCTGGTTTCCCCGGCCAGGAGGAAGCCTTTTGTGAAACTGAGTAGCCCTCGGCAGAGGGGGTAGATACGGCCTCAGCGTCCAGTCTGAGCAACTCCCCGGGGCACGGGCACCAAATGAAGTCCCCTGGAAAGGGAGTGACCGACCGTCACACCAGCCAGCCTGGGGAGCAGCGGGAATTGCCGCCTGAGGAGAGGCCCGGGTCGTCAGGTGTTCGGACCGTCCCGCCCCCTGCCCTGGGCGCCCAGCCCCGGGCCAGGGCGAGGGCGGAGCCGAGGCCCAGGTGGAGCTGGTGGAGCAGGTGGCGAGCGGGGCTCAGGTGCGCCCCAGGCCCGCAGAGGCGGAGAAGGTCGCGCTGTGGGTCCCAGGATCCAGCTCTGGGAAGCGGGGCTGCTCCCCGCGACCCTGCCTCGCAGAAGGGCGATGGAAGAGGTAAAGGGCGCCGCTCGCTCGGGACGTGGGCTTCCCGGGTCTGGGCTGGTTCTCCCCCCGCAGAGGCCGGGACGGCTGCCCGGGTCCCGCCTCCTGCTCGGCGGAGACGGGTCGGACACTGCGCAGTTCGGTGTCCCCGGCCTCTGCCCGGCAGGTGGGAGGGGAGCAGGGCACCCGCTCCAGCGAGCCAGCCCCGGTGCTCTCCTGAACGGATCCGGCTTCCCCGGGGCTTCGTGGGTTCCCCGGCCCCAGGACAGAGGCGGCCGCGCGCGCTCTGCAGTCCGGCGGCCTGGGACTTCAGACCGGGCTCCGCTCCTAGTAACAGTGCGGTCGGGGGCCAGCGTATGTGTGCTCTGAGCCCTTAGTTCCCATCGTAAAATAGGGTTATCCCAGAGAAAGCACTTCTCGAGATTAGTGGAGGTGCGTGTTCAAACAGCTGACGGGGGCTGTCCCGTGCCGAGGAGGACCCTGCCCTCCCGCGGGGCTGGCGCTCTCTGCGAGCTGGGCTTGCTGCGCCTCACTCACCGGTCTTCCCTTTTCCTGCTCCGCGCTCCTTTTTCCCCTCCGAAATCAGTTTCTTTCGAATGTGCGCGTGTGTGCTTTGCTTCCATATCTCCTTTATTACACATTTGGAATCGAATCATTTTCTCCTGTGAATCGTGTGGCTTCCCACCCAGATGTTTGCTTTTAAATCAGGACAGGGGACTCATTGCAGCCTTGGCTGGCCTGGAAACACTCCCCTCTGTCCCGGGCCAGCGGTCTTTCCGGCAGTCCAGAGTCCGGAAAGGGGAGTTTGGGGAAAAGGCGAGACAGGCCTCAGGGATCCTCCCGGCCGACCCCACCCATACTTCGCTCCTTAGCAGCTTTTGAGAAGTTCCTCCCTGGGGGAAAAGCGCCGGGCTGAACAGATTTCATCCGGGTACAAGAAAGGAAAGTGATTTCTATTTTTCCCTCTCTGATGAACCAGGATCTGCGCGGAGGCCCGCTCTTTCAGCTTATCTACACAAGGACAGGGGTCGATGCCTTTGCCCATCCGTGTCTGGGAGGGAAATGGGTCAGAATGTTACCGCTGGCTGCGGGCTTGGCTCGTCAATAACAGCCACCCAGTGCATAGTACAAGCCGCAAAGTGTTAGGCAATTTGGGGGAAAAAAATGTTAGCCAGTGGCATTTTTATGGAATAAACAAATGATTGCATAATTTTCACTGCTCAGAGGGGTAAAAGTGATCGAAAGAAAAATGTTGTTGGTTTCTCATTTTAAAAGGATTTTGTTTTATTTTTTTAGAAAATGCACTTATTTTAAACACCTGCTCTCTGTGGGCAGGTCTCATTCTTGATGCTGTGGGTGTAAGAAGAAACCAGTCTAAGCTATTTGTTTTTATGAAATATATTGTAGTGGGAGAAGATCAATAAATAGAATACATAGGTCAGATGGCAGTAAATGCAATGTGGTTATACAAAGCCAGAAAAGATTTAAGGATGCTGGGGCAGCATGCAGAGGGTGCTATTTAAGTGAGATAGTCTCAAGGAAGGCATCACTGCCAGGTGGCCTTGGAGCAGAAGGAAATTCTATAGGACGAAAATAGCATGTGCAAAGGCTTTGAGGCAGAAACTTGTCTCTATGATCAAGAAAGAGCAAAATGCCTAGAATGGATAGCACAGAGGGAGGGAGGGAAGGAGGGAGAAAATGGTCAAAGGTAGAGGGGGGTCTATCAGTAGGCTCTAGATCCTATTGTTGAAACCGGATTTTCTTCTGAGTAAGGCAGAGAACCACCTAAGTATTTTGAGCAGCTCAGTGGTACAATCCAACTTATACTTGATAAGAATCACCCAGCTCCGGTTCTGAACCTAGATGGTGAGGAAGGTGAGAGCAGAAGGTGGCTGGCCAGTTGGGAGGGTGTTGCAGAAATCCAAATGAAGGGGATTCAGGTTCATACCCGCCTTAGCAGCGACAGGGGCTGCCGGTGGTCATGTTCTAGATCACAGTCCCTGACTTGGGATTATCTAGTGATTCAACTTTGTGATGGTAGAAAAGCAGGATGCATTCAGTAAACACTATGTCTTGAATTCAGATCTTTTCCAAATGGTGCTATGTGCTAGTGCTATGTGGTGCAGTCCTCACACAATGCCTGGGAGTACAGTGAGCCACTGTCCCAGGCAGCCATGTGGTCACAGGGTAATCGACGGTACTCTGCATTGCACTGTATTGCTGCACCGTGAGTTTGGCAGGCTGAGTGTATAAAATGCGTTTTTGGCTGATGATATTTCCAACGTGCCATGGGCTTATTGGAACGTAGCACCATTGTCTGCTGAGGAGCATCTGTATATTAAGGGTAGTGTCAACAGGAGTTAGTGATGGATTGGATTCCTTCTAAAAACTGAGGAAAGAAATGAGGGATGGTCAGACTCCAGGTGAGAAACCTGAACATCTGGAAGACTGGAGTCGATGTGTTCTAAGATGACTCTAACACAGAGCAGGTGTGGAAGGAGACCAGGAGTCAGATCGAGGGGCTGAATAAACAGGTGGCTACTCAGGATGGGAGTCCAAGGCCAGGTTGGAGGTAGAGGGGAGGTAATACACCTGCAGTAGGATGCTGCTGGGCACGCGGGTGTTCGAGCTTCACATTCTTCCCATTAAGAAGTGGAGTCTGCAGAATTGTGATTGCTTTGGCCAACACAGCATGGCCCACGTGGCACTGTGCGACTTCGGAGGCTGTGTGAGGACAGCACTGAGCCCCTAGGCGCTGAGGCTCCAAGTCAGCTGTCTACAAGTCACAGATTCATGCCTCACTTGGGCACCAGTTCCAGCCACACCTCTCACCAGCCTTTCCTGCTAAATGCTGGAGCCTCCACACCAGCCCATTCCTGTGAACCGAACAGTCACCCAGCTGAGCCTTGCCCAAATTCCTCACCCCCCCAAGATTGTGAGGTGAGGACACATGGTGATTTTAGGCTGCTCTGTTTTTCTGGTGATTTGTTTTGCCTCAGTAGATATTGGAATGACTAGATAACCTTCATTCTTTCCAGCTATAAAAGAAAGCTTTCCTTTCCCTACATGAAAGACTCAAGGAAATTCTATAGAAATATATTTTACTACATAGTTTAGACCCCCAGACAGAGAGGTTGTTTTTCTTTTTTCTCAGAGTGAAGTTATAGGCCAGTGCATGCCCTCAGCCATGTAAGTTTTCTCTGAGCTGCAGTCTTGGAATGGCAGCACTTTGAGTTGGGAGAGCTGGAAAAAATGCAACACATCTCCTGAGCTCTTACCCAGGGCCCCAGGTACACTGGACTCTCAGTGAATGTTCTTGTTCATTCTCAGAATCAAGTCTAAATTGGAGGAGCCAATCAATAGGTCGAGCCCATCCTCCTGTAGGTGTGTAGCAGGCATCTTCTACATGTGATGCCCATCTGAGAAGCCACCTCAGTGCTCAGCTTCCGAGGGGAGCATTAGGAAAGGAGATTTCTTCAGGATGACATGAAAAGTAGAGTGATGCAGAAAGTCAGAGCTAAAATGGGGTCACTGAGATTGGGGGCCCAACCCAGCACGGGGATTCCTCAGGGAAACTGGTGTCTGAGTGGGAGATGTGAGACCGAGTAGTGTTACCTCAGGAAAGGGGGAAGGAGGGAGGAAAAGACCAGGGCAGCATGAGGGCAGAGGAGCAGAGATGAGAAGAGCTACGTGAGTGAGGAGATGGACGCTCCTGCAAGTAGGTGTCCTGGAGTAGAAAGCTAAAAGAACAGAGTTGCCAAAATGGAATCCTAAGAAGTGAAAGGGGACAGAGGTTAAGAGGCCCTCACAGCTGTATGAACTGTATCCTGCAAGCGGAGAGCGCTGAGGGACTTCACCTCTAAAATGAGAGCTGCCACAAAATATCTGGAGTTGTCATCCTGCTCTGATGTCCTCTGGCTTTAGGACGTTCCTGTGGCTTATGGGGGACAGGGCCCAGGTCTGAATGTCTGCAGTACTACTTAGCAAGACTTTCAGAGCAATTTTTAGAGATTCCTTTTCTTGAGTAATCAGATATTTAAGGAATAATTCACAGGCCAGAGGAGCAGCTAAGGAAGTGGCCCTGCTGCCTATGGCTTCACTGTTGCTAACAAGGTCATTTCCAGGAGTGGAGGGTGCTGGGGCTTGAGATCAGCCCACCAAAGGTGTGGCTTCTGAGTGCTCTGGGAGAGTCCCGGAGAAGGGAAAGGTCATGCACAGGTGGCCATGCCCTGTTTGTCTTCGCTGAGGGGCTGTGCTGCATCCCTGGATTGGGTTCTCAGCCCTGAACAGTGAGACATCAAACAGCCTAGACCTGCACTGCAGGCTGATGTCATGCTAGCCAGCCTCTCTCCACGCTGACCCCACTGAGCGTCCCACTGAGCATCCCACTGAGTCAAGCTGCCCCTCTCAAAACCACCCTCCTGGGAGAAATGGTCCTCACAGGCAGATCTGCAGATCCCCTTCTGCTGTTCCCAATCCCTGAGCCTGGCTGTCCAGGCTCCCCCACACCCTCGACCCCAGCCTCTGAGCCCCAGTCCCCGGGTTCCTCCTGGCCGCAGCACGGCTTCTGTGCTCACCCAGGCTGGCAGAGGCTTCATGTAGGGCTCAACTAAGGCCCCACCTTCCTCGAAGGCTCCCCCAGCTCCCTGGCCAGAACGGTCTTTCCCCACCTTGCCAGGACTCAGGCCCTGTGAACAGACCCAGGTCTGGACTGTGAGACCCTGGAGAGCAGGATTATGTGTACTCAGAGAGGCAGCAAAGCTTACTGCTTTTTTTTTTTTTTGGTACTGGGGATCGACTTGGGACCTTGTATTTGTGAGCCAGGCAGCTGAACCACTGAGCTAAATCCCCGGCCCTTTACTGGTGAAGAGCAGGGTTCCTGAGGCATCCTGACCAGCTTCCATTTCCAGCTGGACTATGCACTAGCTGTTTGGCTTTGGGTAGTTACTGAGTTTCTCTTTACCTTGTTTGCAAAAGGGAGAAAATCATATCCACTTCTTAGCCTTCACCTG